TGAGAATCAATATCAAAGGCTGGGCCTACGTGGATCAAGAGCAAATGCAGCAAAGTAGATGTCACAGTGAAAGAGAAACTTGTCGTATTCATCATTGAAGATCTTGATGACAGATGTGGCCAGGTCTTCTGTAATCCCTGTTTGAGTAGTGTTTTGCTTAAGCAGGTCCTTCAGTGCAGCTGCACATGCAGTGAAGAAAACAAAAACATCTGCAGCATTAGTACTTGAAGCTTCTAGTGCCCAAAGTGACCAAATCAGTGGCCCAACAATGCAGGTGTACTGGAGAAGAGAAAGCTCGAGATGAGCATATTCAGAGAGATGCGATCCATGAAAAGCAACTGAACATTCTTGTCCTGACCATGATATTGAACCAACAAGACACAAAGAGGTGCTGTAGCAAGACATACCTTGAACCTGATCTTCCTTGCTTGGACAAGTGACCGGATCTTGGGCAATGCTGGCAGCAGTGACTGTGCACTAGTCCAGTATGTTCCAAATCGTGTCTTGCCAATCTTCTGCAGTGTGGAGAGCTTGTGGCCATCACTATCCTCCAGCTGTATCATAGCCTTACTGAAGGTTACTCAGGGGAATCAACAATATTCGGCACAAGTCCTCGTGCACAGATGAGACGGGTGATTGCATGGTCAGCTTGTTGCTGAAGAGCTGCTCTCTCATCTATCTGGCATGCCTTGGTGCCCTGAGCTACATAGTTCTCAAGAACTGACACATTACCCTCAAGTTGGATCTTGTTGTGGGTGGGTGGAGTCAAGTTGGATTGACTACCAGCTGAGCACAAGGCAGAGTCTGAGGCAGACCAGACAATTGTATGTGGGATTGTCAATCGCAAAGCTGCTGCTTTTGCTGTTGTGTCCTGCAAACGAGCACCAAGCGAGAGAGCTGACTGTGTGTCAACAATTTGGCAGTGTATGTCTGGATGAGTTTCCTGGAGTTGGGTACAAGTTGCAGCGTGTAGAAAGACCCGTTTGGTAACAGCATCACCACTTTCTGAGTACAAACATTTTGGAGAAATGCACTCTCAGTAGCGTTGAGACTTGTGCCCAGGCTGAGAAGTATCTACTTGATAATGGCGCTGTTCATGAGCTCGTTTGGTGGGCAGCCTTTTCCAGTGCCCTTCGGCTTCATGACACCTTTCCCTACGATTGGTTCAGATTCTAGTTGTTGCATAGTGATTCAATCAAAGAAGAAGAAGGAACATACCTTAGCTAATCCCAGGTGAACATTGCCAGTGCTTAGGCCATCATCTGAACTGCCTGAGTCCACAATAAGCATAGGGTCTGGGTCATGTACGGCTGCACATGATGCTCAACAATGCTTCTGTGCAGCCCTTGATGGCACTGGCATCTGATCATAAGGTCAGACCATTAGCATGCAGCATATGACAGACAAGAAGATGGCTAACACACCTGCAACCCATAAGTTGCATACAGCTGCTCAGCAGCCATGCCTACATCATATCCCCATTTCATCAGCACGGCTTTGATACGCCCGGAAATCGCTGGACGTGCAACAGGCCCAAAGGCGAGCACATTCGCATGGACTAGCAGCAGCCCTTGGTTCTGGCAAGACTTGCATTGCATCGCCTCGCTTTGCTTTGCTTTCCATTGCATCGCTTCGCCTTGCTTCGCATTGGGTCGCTTTGCTTCCCTTTGCTTCGCGTCCCCTTGCCTTGCATGCCCTTCGCGTTGCCTCGCGTCGCGTCGCGTTATCTTGCGTTGCCTCGCCTTGCATTGCATTGCATTCCCTCCGCTTCGCTTCACCTTGCGCCGCCTTGCCTTGCCTCGCCTTGCATGTTGCTTCGTGTCGCGTCGCGCCGCCTTGCTTTGCCTCGCGTTATCTCGTGCTGCCTTGCGATTGCCTCGCTTCTTCTCTGCTTTGCTTGGCCTCGCGTCGCCTTGCATTGCCTCGCTTTGCATTGCCTCGCGTCGCGTCGTGCCGCCTTGCTTTGCCTCGCGCCGCCTCGCGTTGCATTCCCTCTGCTTTGGTTCGCATGGCTTCGTATTGCATGGCTTCACTTGCCGCATATTGCATCCTTGTAGTCCCTCGCACTCAAGCTCATAGCTGTTGGAACCCCCCGGCCCCCTTTTCCACTCCCTCGGATTCCACAGCCTGTTCTCTTTGCAGAGCGGCTAAAGGCAGTGCCCCATCGCTCCTGTAACATGTTTCGCGTTTGTCCCTCGTTTCATCGCGCAATGCCCCTTTCCTTGCCTTGCTCTCGCATGGCTTCAATTTGCTATAGCTCCTATTGCCTTTTACTTATATACGCTGTGTCTGTACCTTGCTTAGGAGAGAATACAACACCCCCGCGGTTTCCCCTCAAAGTTGCCCCTGCCACTTTTCCCTTGCTTCTTGAGCAACTCCGCAGTGCGTATCTCTCACCCTGCGCCACTTTCTCCTTCATTGCGACCCCCTTTTTGTGTTCCTACTGCGTTTATTTCACTGCGTTACTTACTGCGCTGCGTTTCTCCTTCACTGCGACCCCCTTTTACAGCCGCCCCTTCTCCTTCTCAAGGCTACTGAGTCTTACTGCGTTCTCCTTCACTGCGACCCCCTTTTACAGCCGCCCCTTCTCTTTCTCAAGGCTACTGAGTCTTACTGTGTTCTCCTTCACTGCAACCCCCTTTTACAGCCGCCCCTTCTCCTTCTCAAGGCTACTGAGTTTTAGACTGCGTTTATTCTGTGATCCCATTGCGTTTCCTACTGTGTTTGCCATGGCGTTTTGCGTTATCCTCTTGCAATGAGCCAGCGCAGTCCTTTCTCTCGCACTTTACCACACTACTTCCTCTCCCCCCTCTTGTGTATTGCATGCCAATTGCTCCCCTTTCTTCACCACTGCGTTGCCCCTAGCTCTATCACTTTTATACCACTTTCTTTTGCAACACTTAAGTTCTATGGCCTCTTTGCATTGCATTGCCTTGCTTGGTTTTACTTTACACCTTTCTACCCGGAACTTTTCCCAGCTACCCAAACAAACCACAGCGCTTTTGGCCTGGCACTCTGAGCCCTGCAAATGCATCACCGCTCGCCCGAGTCTAGGTGCAGCCTAGGACTCTTGGACCCACTCGCAACCTACATTCACGCATACCCTCAACCCCTACTTACACATGTAATCGCCTCTCGCGAGGTCAGGTGTGTTTGTGCCCGGTCCCTTTGTGTCCGGGGGGTATGTTAGTGTCTCAGCGTTGGTTGGATATTTCTCATGAAAGTGTGCGAGAACATCAACAACTGCAGATTCCACCTGTACAGCCCCTGTTTTACATTTTGCACTGCTCATGCACCCATACACAGTTTTTCAATGCTGCATAGCTACCTTAATCGTTTGTGCTGCCTTTGTTTTGCACTGCTTATGTACTCATACAAGTTCGACCATGTTGAAGCTATGTTTGCTTGGACTTTGTCTCTCCACCTATACAGACTGTTCCCTATATTTTGCACTGCTTGTGCATTGATAGACAAGTTTTCATATTATGTAGCTACCTTAATCATTTGTACTGCCTCTGTTTTGCACTGCTCATGCGTTCATACATGTTTCATAGTATTGTTCTCCAATATTATCCGATCCGCATTCCAACACATTGTCTCGATCATTCTGTCTCATGCACTCTGTGATCTGTTTGTATCCTCTTTCCTTCTTATCTATTCCAGTTATCTGTCTATATCATAATCTAAATTCATATGTTCCTCCCCCCACACACACTCCGAGTACCCGCTCTACTATGTCATTATTCCTACTTCCATTTCATTACTATTTTGATTATTTCCGCTTTCTTAGATAACTATATAAACTCATGTATATTCATTACTTTTGAACTATCCTCACTACTCATTATCACTCGTGTGCGCTTGCAATCCCCTCGCAAAACAATACATAGTGTTGCAGCTATGTTTGATTGATCTTTGTTTTCTTCACCTGTACAGCCTGTTGTCAACATTTTGCACTGCTCATGTATCCACACACAGTTTTTAGTAATGTGTAGCTCCCTTAACCATCTACATTGCCCCTTTTTGCACTGCTTATATACTCATACAAGTTCCATAATGTTCCAGCTATGTTTGTTTCATTTTTGTCTCTCCACTTATACAGCCTGTTCCCTATTTTTTGCACTGCTCATGCATCCACAAGTTTTAAGATGTTGTATAGTTAGGTAGCTTCATCTTTTGGATGGCCCCTGTGTTGCACTGCTCAGGTACCCATGCAAGTTTCATAGTGTTGTGTAGCTACCTTAGTTGTCTGAACTGCCTCTCACAGACTGCATATTGTCTATTCTCTTCTGGTCAGTGCTGACACAATTTCAGTGATTGAAGTGTTTGTAACTAGCAGGGAGATCAATCTCTCCATGATGGTTTGTTGCTGCCACAGGCTTCTAAATCATTGATATTGTTCACACCAGCTTCTGCAGCCACCTGAATGCCAGCACCCAGTCCTCTTCAGACACAAAAGCTCCAGTTCTAGGCAGAAGGAAATCTTCAAGCTAGTAAGTGACTCTTGACTACATGTCATGAAGAGAGGATATTGGTATTCAATGGTAATCATCATATACACCCCAGTTAAAATATTCAATGGTATTTGCTAAGCACTACTTCTGGGGTGATAAAGTCCATCCAGCCCTTGCACTGGAGCTTGTTGTTGATTACACAGACCTCTCAGAATCTGTAGCATTTCCAACATGTTCCAACATTTATATACATGACATTTTTGCCGGCCTGTGCCCCCGGTGTTACTGACATGTTTCTTACATGTTTCCAACATCATTTACTGACACGTGTTTGTTAATATTGACTTACCGACAGGAATCCTACAAAAGTGTCCTATTGTTAGCTGGAAGCTGCTAGTCATACCATCATTGATATGACCTGCAGTCATTGCATATAGGGCCATCTTCCAGTAAATACATATGTGCCATGATCACTTGGCTGAAGCGTGTGCTGTAATTACTGTACTATCTCCGTGAAACAAAAAGCACAGATATCTAGCAGCATAATGACCACCGCAGGACTCGAACCTGCAACCTTTTGGTTCACTAATAAGCGCGCGGCAATCGAAGCCAAACGCGCTACCATTGCGCTAGGTAGCCGTATTCCTTCATGTGTCCTACGTAATATGATATTGGCATAGGCAAGGCAGACGCTAGGCGTAAGTTATGATCGGTGCGGCTGCGCCTGTAGATTCCGGATCCTTGCCAGTGCTCTTAAATCGTACTACTTCTTCTGCGTTATCGTCACTCCCTCTTGATTGTACCGTCTCTGAAAACAATTACCACTGCAATGGCTTTAAATTGGACTATGCTTGACTCCCATTCGTCCCCCGTTCCGCTTCCACATGAGCTCATCATACGCACCGTCTCAGCCGCCGAGCTCACGCTGATAATACCCAACGCGCCCCCATCTTCTACATCTAGCTCTGGAGGCTCCGGAGGGGAGAAGAAGCTTGTTGGTAGCGGGAAGTTATGGTTGACCGATGCACGAGTATGTCTAGTTCGATTTTGTTTCATGGCCGACCGCAATGCTCACATGAAGTAGTTGATATTTGTAGCCCGCGACGCAGGCGCCAAAGCTTCAGGCCCAAACGCGTTCGAGTCACTGTCAATTCCCCTACCGTCAATTCTATCCACCAAGTTTGAGCAGCCGTTCTTCGGTCAGAACTTTCTGGGCATAGAGATCAAGCCAGTGGATGAAGGCGGTTTGACGATCGGCACAAAGGCTGAAATCAGGCTCGTAGACAAAGGCTTGTTCGAGTTCGTTAGTGTCCTCGAAAAGACCCGCGAGCGAGCGATATACATGAAGAGGTCCAGCGCAGAGGAAGAGGAAGGGCTGCGTAGGTGTTTACATCTACATAATTCACATCGCTTCGTTAATCGCCTGTCGTCCTTTAGCCGGTTATTCTACACCGATGAGTGCAGCAGGACCCTCCGCTGCCTCTGCTGTGCCAGACGAAGCTCCGCCAGGCTATGATGCACCTTCGTATCATCCTTGAAGCTTTATTTGAATGAACACTTGGCCGAAATCGTACAGAATTGTTCACGCAGCTGGATAAGCCGCGTACGAGCTGTTCCATATCGTATGTACCCATGAACTTCAAATGAACGTCTCTATTTGTATTCCTGATACAAACGCCGACCGGTCTCCCGAGTCCCACAATCGGCTGCTTCATGCAAGGGTTCATGTGTTCTTGTCAAATTCAACACTTTGCCTCTCGCCTTCAGTAAGAAAAATCGAGCTTCCTGAAAGTACTCTCATACTGTGGTGACAGCATGAGGCTACAGAGCAGCCCGGGCGGCGGGTTTCCAAGGTTAGGTCAACCGCTGATGAAACTAGAGGTATAGATTCACTGAAAATACCCCCGCCGTCAAGAACAAAACCGTCCTCCCCTTGTGACAACAGTGTTGTCTCGCGAATAAAGCTACCTGCTGTTTGATGCTGTAATCACTTGCTTCTCAGTCGCTTTGCTGTTTCTGAATACATGTACATTTACGAATTGACAAATGGTTTGCTGCGAGGTAGACGCCGATATCTCGATAAGATTCTTACGAAGCTAGGAGGCGGGCATTTCAAGTTGGCATCTTGCTCTCATGACTAAAATCTGTATACTTTGATTCACCACATCTTGGCTTTGTTTCACTATAATACTGGCCATTTCTCGTATGAGTGGCTTCAAAAGGAGAAGCACAGTTCATGATCTATCAAGTTTACGACTCCATCCGGATGGTTCCAAGGTCATCAACTCCGATACCAACTTACATTCTCGCAAGGCCAAGTACGCCGCAAAAGACGCAAGAGGAAACTGGATAGCTCAGGATGCAGGAGGGCTTGGACGTGTCAAGACGCGTCTAGCAGCCGCGAAGGAGAAGAGTCAGGCAGGTGAGGAGGGAGAGGAAGGCGACGATGCGCAAACCGAAGCTGGACCGAGTTATTATGCGGCTGACAAAGGGAAACAAAAGGCGGTGGAAACAAGGGAAGAGCTCGTCGACGAGGAGTACATCCCAAAGAATACTCGGGCGAAGAAGAGGAGAGCATTCGCTGACGACTTCACTTTCATCGCATCCTCTGGAGGAGGGACCTCCACTACCCAAGCTCCAGTTATCTCAGCTACAGCTGTTGGCAATGGCTCAGTCCCGTCCGCTACAGACGTGCGATTGCCGCAGCCTTCTTCCGTGAGTTCAGACACACGACGTACTCTTGCTTCTCTCACTTCTTACTTTCGCTATCAGGACTTACTCAAATGCATACACTATTTTGCTAGTGCATTGTACACTGAGATGGGGCAATTGAGAGATTCAAGTAGAGAGTACAGGAGAGAGAAGAAACGTAGAAGGCTGGCGAGGTTGGCGAAGACGCCGAGTACTAGCCCACAGAGGGGAGTGTCTGATGCTGAAGCCAGCGCAGAGGGGAGTTATTCGTCTCCGTCTTCATCCTCGGACGATGAGAAAGAGGAACAAAGACATGAAGAACACAAACGCAAGCGTACATCGAAGAGTGGGTCGAAAACCAGGTCTTTAGGGAGGAAAGGTGTCAGCCGACCTGAGTTGAACACCATGAAGACAGACATGTATAAGGCCTGTGACGGCTCTGCGTTGATGGCAATAGGTAACTCACGTTGTAATTCAGAGAGGCCAGGTATATTGACTACCCGCCAGGAATGTTATTGCAACAGCATGTGGCGGACATACTTTCCCCCGAAACACCAGACGGATGGGAAGAAGCTATGATTGAGCACGGCGAATTGCCACTGGCAACAGACCCGAAATCTAGGTATGCCAGGAGTAAGGAGCGAGGAGCTGCAGATGACGAAGACAAGGCCGACTCAAGTAGCAAGAGTGTAGACGAGACAGGGGATGACGACTCGGCGGACGAAGAACTAGAGGAAGAGGTATATGTTCCTGATTGAAAGTTGAGAGCCATTTCTCTGCAAAATGGACAATCAGGCTGCATTCTAATATTATATAGCGGCGTGTAGATTAAGTAGTGGTAGAGGTAGAAGGGTTCGTCACCGGGTGTGCTGTGTGCAGCGTCCCGTCTTCCCATCGCTTCAGAATGTTGTGCTTGAAAGCACCGATATCTTCTCCTTCAAATATTCGCAATCTTTCTAGTCGTCGGTCCCGCAACTTGTTTTTCGGCAACATGCCAGATACGGCTTTTCGAATAATCTTGGAACGATGAGCACGACCTCCCGACAGCAAGCGGACATACAAAATACCTCATCCGGTTTTCTTTGCATCATCTCCTGATACCGAACCTCCTTCAATCCGCCGGGATACATGGTATGGTGGCGGTAAACCAGCTGCTCTGCCTTCCTGCCTGTTACCTTGATGTTCCGTGCATTCGACACTACGACGTAGTCCCCGCAGTCCACTGCAGGGAAATGGTCAGTAAGATACGTAGACTGACAAAGACATGAACCGCGCACCACTAGGGTCAAATATTGGTTTGTGCTTGCCCATAAGCACCAGCGCAATTCGCTCTGCTAATTTTCCCAATATGCGGTCAGACGCGTCCACATGATGCCACACCCGGGCATACGCAAGAGCGGTCTGTAAGTGACATTAGCGTTCAGAAAGTATGGGGAGACCTGAGTGCACCAACATTGCCGATGGCCTGGGACATGGTGGCAAGACGGGAGAGACGGGTCGTATTAGCGCCGAGACGCGACTTTCAATTGTCAGTGAGGCGCGTTTCTTTCAACCTCTCTGCCTCGCCACCGCTACCACCAAAACCATTACAAGGTTTGCCTTCTGAGGCGAGGTGTAAGCTCTACTCAGAGGCTCTATATGCGGCCTGACTCAGTGTTGTTTGACAGGAGACACGGTTGACGACCAGATCCTTGTGCAAGTGGCAGCATACCTGCATACGCGACTACTAGTATGGCTGGAGAGTCTTCGAAACGTTCAAATCTCGTTGATGTGTATGTACTAGGATCCATGCCCCGTCCTTCTCCTTACGCTTCTCTAGGACATATCAACACCTCCATAAACTGGTTACTGGCCAGCTTGAGGGCACATCGGTTGACCAAGTCGCGGAGATTATCCAGTACCGCGTTCACCAGCTTCGCCATGTTTCCAACCCGTTTGGCTCTCCCTCTGAAGCGTCTAGAAAGAAAGTTCAGTCTGGCTCAGTCACCCTTCGCGACAAGGTGACACTGACATTGACGCATTGGGTCCGTGAAGCTAGTCTTGCAGTCAGCAAGGAATTCGACATTGACGAAGTCGAGGCTGCCATTCTCGTGCGCTCATTCTTCTACAATGAGGGCGTAGCTCCTGGAAAAGGTGGTAGCCACGGAGGGCCCGTCGAAGAAACCATTGAAGCCATTACCTCGTTCTACTACTCCGAACGTATCAGCATTCTGCGCATCCTCCCCCCTCTATTTCGTGCACAGGCTGGCGGTGGCACCGTCATTACCGATATTGCCAGCGAAATAATCCCTGAAATCATCCCCGATGGCAAGCAGTTCACGGAGCAGGTCATCGCGGAGTACATACGCAAAACCCAGGAGCCGATCCCTCGTCGTTTCGCTTCGGATGTGAAGAAAGCGGCCATGTGGGCTAAACAGAATGTCAAAGAACAGCTAGCTCTTTTGGAGATCCTCTTTTGGTGCCTGTGGGACTATACCCCCTGCGATGGTTCCGTGGTCATCAAAGTCTACGAAACGGCGTTTGACACGAATTTGGGATCAGTCCAAACCAACTCAACCTTGCTTTTGGATGAAGAGTGCTCTCAGGTACTACAGGATATGGCGGCGCTATGGATACTGGTCACTATCGAGGTTCTTGAACTTGAGAGAGTGGCGGACCCTCGTGAACTCAGGATTTCAGGCGAGCCGCCTGTAAGGGAGATTTACTGGTTATCACCCCCCTCTTTGCAAAGAATACACGAACTCGTGACTTCCCACACTGACAGCCAATTCGCATGCACATATTCTGCATGGGCTTTCTTCCTCTCACGGTTTTCCACGTTATGCAGCAGTTTGAAGGAGCTGCCGCAAGAGTACATGCCATTTTTTGAGATGATCCTGCCTATAATCGACCGGTCATACTCCAAAATGCGGGAGCCTACCCATGTTCTCATGGCGAACGCGGCCATG